GTCAACTTCTATGCATGTGAGTGTGTCTGTCTCTGTATTTGTATGTGCATGTTTGTGTTCGCATATGCACAAAACCCGAAACTAACCAAATCATTTATACTTGATCAAAGAGGCCAGATGTAGGGATTTGCCGGTGAGTTTTCTTGACTTGTTAGCTTGCATTTTGTTGTGACGATGTTACCCCGCTCTGATGATGTCCGTCATATGACGCACGAAAGCTTAGCACCGTTTCACCGGAATCGAAAGAGATTGCCTCGGAAACAGAGTCAGCATGAATGTTGCGGTAAAGCCAATCGACAGCTGGTCAAGAGGAATCCGCCGTCGTCTTCTGGTGGAACCGACTTTCGAATCTCTTCACCCAACACTTCCAATCTAAATGGAAGTAAGCTCAACAATTATGAAACCAGAGATTCCTCAAAACCCAAATTTCCTTCGTAGAGTGGAATAACTTTACGAGTAGTTGGATTCTGTACTCTCTAAAATCTTTACAACCTACCCTTTTTCAGATCGCAATGCTTCATCTCTGAAGTATAGTCACCCAAATGCAACTGTTCACTCTCACAACTAAAAAGAATGAATAGTTTTAATTTTTTCCCCATTTCTATTTCCTCTATCCTGTAGGTATGTTCAAACGACGATTTTGCCCTGAAGAGTGGACCAGGCGCTTCCAGAAACGCCATATTCGCTATGTCTAACAAATCGGACCTGGCCAATCAGGCTTCTGAAGCCGAGGTAAGGTCAGGGTCTTTTGACGCCAAAAAATCAGCTTTCGCTTCTGGACCAGCCGAGGCCTGGGGCCGGCCGGAAGTGGGCCCATTGGCCACTTTGCCGCAACCGGCGCCCATGGGACTCGATGAAGACGATGACCCAATGTCCCTTGAACAAGTGACGGCTGCCACTGCGTCAGCAACAAAAGACCCTCCGACAGCCAGTCAGTCGCTGAGGTTCACCGGAGCCATGAGGCGGCGGTTTCTAACGTGGAGACCATCGGACCACCGCAATACGACTACTGTCGTCGAGGGCAAGCAGGATGGGGTCGCAATCACCGGCTCTGGGAGCAGCCAGACGATAGTGGCGCCTCCTCCAGAAACGACTGTTGGCGCTGGTACTTCAAGGAGGAGTGAATGGATGGAAAGGACGCGTCTATCACAGTTGCCGGGCAGGAAAGAGAAGAGTTTTCTAAAAAAGGTCCTTCACTATGTGCTTACAGTTCAGACGCTTGTCAGCGATAACCTGAGTAGAGAAGATGATCTCATAAGCCATTTTCTGATTTATCTTTGTAGTCATGACTAAATCAAATCATCATACCGATATGAACTGTTTTCACGCTAGGTCGTATAAGGTGAAGAAAGACTCATAGTTGAATATTACCACAAGGATGAACCGGTCTCACTATGCTTCCCACAAAGCATGCTCATCTAAACTGGACTTTAGCTTCCAATTCGTCTTGGTCTCATGGGACGGTAGCTTTGAAACCTTCTCAACCCGAATGATACCGAGAGTTCCTACAATCAGCATGAGTCCATATTTCTCTCTCATTTCACGATACTAATGTGGATTTGATTAATAAACTGGTCTCAGCGACCGGCTGGCACCAAAGCGTTCTTATGCCAAGTTACAGGCAGATGAGATCACGCCTGAGTTTGTAAAGAACTGAAAAATAGTTTCGTAGTGAGACCTTCTTCGTGAGCCCATAAATACCAGATCTTGGAGCACCAAGGCAACCTACTGTTGCTAGCCCTAAACTAGGACTTTTCGATCTGCATACATGTACATCATTAGCCTATTTACATTTATCAGCATACTTAGTAGAAATTCTTTAACACTCACTATAAATGCATCCTTGAATAATAATGGCCAAAGGGGAAAATTTTATCTTTTGTGAAGCAAAGTTGGGTTTCGAGGAATTTATTGTTTCATAATTGTTGAGCTCACTTCCATTTCGAGTGAAATTGTTGGATTAAGAGATTCTAAGGTCGATTCCACCATTGCACGACGGCGGACTCCTCTTGACCGGCTGTAGATTCGCTTTACTGGAGCATTCATGGTGACGCTGTTTCCAAGGTAATCTTCTTCAGTTTTGGTGAAAAGGTGCTAAGCTTTCGTCCATCATTTGCGAACATCATCATAGCAAGGTATCGTCATCACAAACAAATTCAAGTTAACGAGTCAAGAAAACTCACCGAAACATCCATAAAGAGTCATATATTCTAAACAAATAACTTTATACCTTGATACTTTCATACCTTTCATTTCGTTTAAGAAGGCTGGCCTTATCGGACACCGCAGAAGAGTTGCCTTGGACTCTTTTCTGTTGAACTGTGCGAAGAATACCTCGGCTTACCGTCTTGCGACCCCGATAACTCCGTGCTGAGCTTTCGTCCGTCCTGTGACGGATATCGTCAGAGCCAGAAACCATTATTCACGAAAAATCACCAAATTGAGAAAGGGTTGCCAGCTGAGATCCTACTTATTTCTTATACCTCACTTTACGACCTTAGTCACTTCGAAACCTAGCTT